CACGGGCGCTGATACAACTTCCCAGGTAGTTGAATTTTTGAACGACTTCTAGCTGATCCCCACCAAGGGTCAGCGTAGGAGGCGGTCCAGACCAATCTTGGAGAAACGCTTTGCACTTCGAGGGTGCGAAGCGAAGCCCGAAGTGACGGACAGCTAGTGCTAATCTGTCCAGTGCCGCTTGGCACATTTGTGAGCTGTCACAGATGAGGGCAATATCATCAGCATACTCTAAATCAAGAAGTCGTTCTCCTGGGAGTAGCTCCACACCTTCTAAGTCGTGCCCTGTGAACGCGATTTCTATGACTTCGTCAACAGCGAAGTTGAAGAGGAAAGGTGACAGCGGGCATCCTTGTCTCACGCCGCTGGAGATATTAAAGGGCGACGACAACTTGCCGTAAGCCCTCACTCTGCCCGAGCTACCCGCATATAATGCTCGGATAATATTCACATATTTCTCAGGTACACCTTTCCTGAGTAGACAGTCCCAAAGTGCATATCTATCCACCGAATCGAATGCACCTTTGATATCGAGGAACACGACAGTGGTGGGGCGCCAATATATGTGACGGTGCTCCAACAACTGACTCAAGGTGAAGATGTGGTCAATGCAGCCACGACCTCGACGAAATCTAGCTTGCTCTTCACGAATCTGGCTTTCAGGAGTGCCAGTCAGTCTGTGAAGGATGACAGGGGCAAGCAATTTGGAGGCGATGGAGATCAGACTGATTCCTCTATGGCTGCCGCATTCCGATCGTGAGCCTCCTTTGAAAATTGGGACTATGATGGAGCGGCTCCAATCGGTTGGGACAGTTTCCTGCTCTCATATTTTGTCTAGTAACTTTTGTAAATCATCCACAAGAGCAGGTCCCCCGAATTTGAAGAGGGCTGGAGGAAGGTCATCAGGTCCCGCGGCTTTATTTAACTTCAACAGTTTGATCTCATGTTCGACTTCTGAGCGAGAGGGTGGATCCAAAGGAACAGCCCTCGGAGCAGGGCGATCACTGGTCGGCGAGAAATCTAACAATTCCGACCGATTAAATTGCCTTTCAAAGTGCTCAACCCAACGTTCCAGGCGTTTTGATAAGTTATGGATAGTCTGTCCACTCTCGTCACGTATAGTTTCACTAACACCAGGTCTCCTGCTGCCCGTTTCCCGTATCAGACTGAATAACTCACGATGGTTACCAAGGGCAGCGGCCATTTCCATCTCTGTTGCACGACGAGACCACCAGGATTCGCGGTCTCTCTTCAGGCTAGCACGGAGTTTTGCCCGGAGCTCTTTGCGAGTTTCATTGTGTTCGCTTCCAGCCGGAATATGCCGGCGAGCATCTATAAGTTCCAGAGACTGTGAAGAGACTCAATGTTCATGTTGGCGATTAGACATACCACATAAGGATTTGCCTGCTGCTAGTAAGGCCTGTTGCATATGAGACCAGTGAGCTTCAATTGCATCCAGTGAGCGTTTATCCAACTCGGATGACAGCGTAATTTGATAGGCGTTCAGAACAGCTGGCTTCACCAGTCTGCCGGTGTCAATGCGCTCACAACATCGTCGCGTGCGTCCACCAAAGCGCATCCGAATGTCAGCACATACAAGTGCATGATCGGTGTCAACACCTGTGCTCCAAATCGAGCGACAGTTCTGGACGCAGCCTCTCCAGCGGTAACTGATAGCAATGTGATCGATTTGCGTCCATAGCTGGTTCGAGGCTGGTGGGCGCCAAGTCACCCTCCGGCGGGTGCTGTGTCGGAAATTTGTGCTCGCAAGAAATAAGCGAGCATCCTCACACAAATGAAGTAACCGCTCAGCGTTATCATTACGGGTGCCTATACCATGTTGGCCGCCCAGATGCAGCTCATCTGCGGATAATTTTCCAACTTGAGCGTTCAGATCCCCAGCCAGCACTACAGTGTCCGAGCCTCTTCTGTGGCGAAGGAGCTCGTTCAGTTGGCGATAGAAGTCGTCTTTTACCGAGTCATCGCTACAGTTTGTCGGTGCATAGGCAGCGATAACGAATAGACACCTGTTAGTGCCGCGCGACTTCGAAGTTTTGAACGAGCCAGCCAATCGGACCGCACACATCCGGCTACTGATTGGAATCCAGTCAACCAGAGCAGCTTCAGCCCGGGGACTCAGGGCAATACCAACACCGGCTTGGCCGGGGCTCGAAGCTGCATCGTCACCGGATAGGCGCAATGAGAAAGTGCTGCTAGTGTCACCTGAAGGGGATCGCAGAGTGAGTACAGAGCTCGAGTCTTGCAGGCGGGTCTCCGATAAGCAGCAGATATCGATCGAGAGGGTCTCTAATGTTCGGGCAAGTGCTGCCTGTTGACCGATCTGAAGGAATGTGCGAACATTGAGGCATGCCAGTCTGAAGGAGGATCGAGGGCTCCAAATGGAAGCCGTTGAACTGGAATGGGCCGCTTGGTTGGACATGGGCCTGTTGACAGTGCAGGAATGACGCTCTGCGTTCACCTGTAAGTTGAAACTAAAAGACAGGCGACTATTGAAGCAAGGTGGGGGAGGGCCGAGAATTGGGGGATGAAAACAGGGGGGATACAAGTGAAGCTGTAACAGGACGATAAGGGTGAACAAGCGCAAGAAGGGGAATAAGAAGATGGGAAGGCTTGAGCAGTAGCATCCAAACCCCTATCCACCCTGCTCGATGCAGCAGATAGGGCACCGTTGATTATCCTCTGCGGTGGCCAGAGCATCAGAAATTTGTTTGAGTAAAGATTCATTGTATTGCGTGGGCAGGATACTGTCAGGTTGCCCAGGCCTAGACAGGAGAACGATTAGGGTTCTCAACCAAAGCCTTTGGTTCAAAAACCTGGCCGCAAGGCAGCGGGTTTGGCACTGGACTACAAGGAGTCCGTTTTAAGGAATAAGGAGCCACCCTCATTCCAACCCCCAACCTGGAGGACCAGGAGGCTGATTTTGTCTGGCCTCTAACCATTGACCAATCTGGTATGAGTGACTCTGCTTGTGCAAAAGCACCACCCAATATAGGTCAATGGATCACTGAGGCACACAAACCATCGCACCACGGTAAGGTCCAGCCTCATTGCGATGGGGGGCCGCTACCCACTCTCACATATTTCACAAAACCTCTGAGTGCCAATTTTGTGGCTATTATTCCGATCGGTATGGTGGCTAGACGAATATTTACACCGCAGTAAACATTGGATTTCCTCTGAACTGTTCGTAATAGCACTGCAAATCGGCTCACTTCGATTCGGAGATGCCACATTTGCTTTTGTGGCTGCATTTTGAGTCAGCATTTTAACCCTGTTTATATCTCCCACTATTTAGCGTTCCATTGGGCTTTTGCCGCGGCCGAATCACTACCATCACTCGCAATTCCGCTTGTCTTTTCTTCCGCGTCAGTTCGCGCTCAATTCATCACTTGACTCCTGCCTTGCCTTTTTGCCCGCTTCAGACTGATCAACGCAGTTGAGGTTTGTATGATGCTCTTTGTGTCTTCCACACTCTCGGAATACTCTAGCCAAACGGTAGTCAATGCTTGTAGTCCCATCTTTGTGCGAACCCCGTCTCTTTTGGTCATTTCTTACCCCATCTGCTTTTCTGATTTCACAGCGTCTCTCTCACTTTCCTACCATTTGTAGCGAAACAAGAGCGGCCACTACGCATCTCCACAGGCTTTTCTCCACGATTTTCGTTGGATCGTGCACAATTGCATCGTCTTTAATGGAGGTCAGTTGCAGTGTATCTGATGTCTTCAATGCGCTTTCATCTGAACTGAATGCGCCGAACGCCATACTTCACCTAACTGCATCATCTGCATCTCTAACGTGACGTGCACACCGTCAACCATTCGGACTTCCCCCAAATCTATCTTAGCCGTTCGAGTACATTTCACCATATTTCTTTTTAATATATTTGTTAGCCGTCCACAACGTCTGAAGTCGGATTGCACTTATCATCTTCACTCCGAGGCGAGTATCATCACCCAGCCTAACTCGATAACTTGTCTCCATCGATATTTGACGCTTGAACTTCTCCGTGTTTCCACCGTCTTGACCTCCCAAGTCCGTAACCCCCCCCGCAGCCTACTCAACAGTGGAACTTAATAGTCACACTCCCAATCAAGCCACACTCGGCCCTCCCCTAGCTGATCCTCGGATGCACTGAGCCAGTCTCATAGCACGACTTCCCCGTCGGGTTATTGTCACGTGCCATGTTCTTTTGTATTACTCAAGTGTTGCCTTCCATTTACTCGTCTACATCTAGGAAGCAAGGTGGAAATGTGTCAACAAAACGATGTTTCTTTTTATCTCCGAATAAGAGGCATCTTAGGAGTAGAAGGATTTTTGTGAGTATTTTTGTTCGTCGCAGTCAGCCGACAATCCAGATAAGTCAACTACCTCTCCGGAAAAGCACCAGACGGCCGTTTCGCCCTATTGGGGCTCGTCAGTGGTGCGCATCCTTCGGTCCTCTACGGAGAATCGAACCCATGACTGCTAGTAGCAGTAGAGGCATCTAAATGACCCAGTGAGTGCTCTCATCTGCCATGAAGACTTGGTGGCCAGACTCCTGATGTCTCCTGATGTCCACAGCACGTAGTGGTCATATCTGCTCCACCGAAGCACTGGCTGCATTGCAGTGTTGTGCATCCATCCCTTGCCCATGTAAGCTTACATTTTACTCTCTAGCGGGTCATCAAGTCTCATTTTATCAGCGATTGCTTTTTGTCTCTACTCTCCCGTAGCAGTAGAGGCATATTTGTAGCGTTTCGCTCTCAGTTTGCTACACTGTCTAAATCTCTACTGATGTGTTTTTCAAGAACCCAAGTTGCCAATTAATTGCCACATGAATTTCCGCTGCTAAATTGCTTGTGTACACAATCCTGCCATCATTCTAACTCTTTTTATCGTCACCTCTTCCTCTTGTCACCGTTTCTTTCATACGTGTAGTAACTTCTTCCCTTACTAACCAAGTTCGACTGTTGAATCGCACCTGCATTCGAGAACTGGCATTAATGAAGGCTTGTCCGAAATGTTATTTGAATCGGGTACCCGCTCTACGACTTCTCCCATCCACTGCTGAGGTATTACCGCTTCTCACAAATCAAGAGTGGCGCGCCTCATCCAATAACACCGACACACTGGCCACTCCTCAACCTGACGACGTACCAACTGTACCGAAATCTTCTGTTCCGTCTGCTGATGAAAACCTAGACCACTGGTGGTTTTGCCGCCTTTGTGTAAGTGTTACTTCATTCTAACTCGCCATGTATCGGTAACAATAACCGCTTCAGTTTTATTGTTATCTAGGCTCCTTACTGTTTACCATCACAATATATATATTCGATTCTTCTAAATGTAATTTCGTTTTTGATTTATCTTTTTATTATTATTTTTTCACAGCGAACTTCACACTTAATGCGCGTAGTCATTATACACTTTGATTGGTGATATAGCGAGGCTTATTTGCATGATTCTACGCAGTAGTTTTTGTTTGGTGCTCTCACAAATATGAGAAGTGAAAAAGCGGCAATTTCGGCATCTTTCCCTTTTTTACTATCGAAAAGGTAAAACTTCTCTTCAAGCAAGCAAAAATTTTATCGGATGTTTGTAGAGAAGATGTATTGACAGAACGCCAGTGCCAAAGCTGGTTTGCAAAATTTCGCTCAGGCAATTAATTAATTGATTGATTCCTTTGCATTAATGGATGCGAACCGGCGAATGGCAACTCGAGATTGCTGAGAGACGAAATTTATCGAATTCGACCGTTCATGATCATTTGAAACACCTAGGTTTCACCTTAATGACTCTCTGACGAGTAATAAAAGTGCTTGACTCAAAAAAAACGATTGTTGGTACGGGCTATATGGCCTAATTGTCCATACGCATACACTTAAAAATCCCTAAAGTTGAGTACGATCGGTGATGGCAAATCTGCTTTAAAGCCACACCAGCACACGGTCAGAACAGACATGAAAGTGCGGGTGAAACCTTTCGAGGGACTAACTTGTATGGAATCAGGTCCCCTGGAAACGAATCCACCATTAATCGTATTACTTTACTGAACGTTTAGATCTGTCTGCAGTTATTATTATTATTATTACCATTATTTTCAATCAATCCATCTATTTGGAAGATGTAACCGATCAATCAGCCCCGCAAAATAGTTTGGGAACTGCTCTGAAAAAAGAATATTATCCGTCCTATGCGATCCCCTTTTACACAATGACCAGACCAACTGGTTGGACTGTGCCTCGCACCATCTAGGAATATACTCTTGATTTATTTATTTATGGCTTTCTCCTGTTCTTACGGAAAGAAATTTTGCCATCTCGTTAACATTGATTTGCTTCCCAAATGTTAAGAAAATGATCCCTTTTTGGAGCGCATCATCACTGGGGACGAGAAACGGGTTGTCTACAACAACGTTAAACCCGAGATCATGGAGTAAAAACGGTGAACCGGCGCAAACCACTTCGAAAGCCGATATTCATCAAAAAAATGTGATGCTGTCTGGTGGGATTTCAAAGTAATTGTTTTTACTGGAGCTTTTACCGGACAACATAACAATCAATTCTGAAGGGTACTGTTATTACTTGGCAAATTGAATGATTCACTTAAACAGCATAAGCTAATATTAATCAACAAAAAGATGTAATGTTCCATCAAGATAATGTGAGACCTCATACAAGTTTGGTAACTCGCCTAATGCTTTTACAGCTTGTATAGGATACACTTTCACACCCACCATGTTCTCCAGATATGGCACCTTCTGGTTATTATTGTTCCCGTCTCTATAAAAAATTTTAGACGATAAAACTACTTCAAATAAGGAGGTCAAAATCACCTTCGTTGCCAACAAAGAACAAACCTTTTATGACCGTGAAATCAAGCTACTGCAAAAAGGTGGCAAAAGGTATTGGATCAGAATGGACATTATATAATTCAATTCAATATTTATTTACTATAAGAAGGCCGTCATTCATTTTCATACAAGAAACGAAACAACTCCCACATATATATACATATATATATATATATGTATGTATGTATATATATATATATATATATATATAGTCGACGGTCTATAACATGTGCAATTTCGTCAAAAGGCACGAAATGAATGTGCATACTTATTGCAAAAGTCGCACAGATGGATGGAAAAGATACTCTTATTCTGTTTTTCACACACTATTTTATCTTCTCTTTGTCCACTCAGGTATGTTGATGTTGTGCAGTTTGTTCGGAGCCAAATTTTGCAGTCTGATTGCGCATCATGTCCTCAAAGGGGTTCCTACTCAACGGTATCTTTCATCCTTGGATCCCCGGCCCGAATTACGCGCGAGATCGACAATATCTAAACTGGGATTTAGCGCTTTGACACTGCTGTCAATTAGCGGGCCGGCCACTCCGCGACTTTTTCTAGTGTGGTCTTGGACTAGAGAGTAAAGCACGATGTGGTAATTACTTGCACGGCACGTGTAGGACTTGACCAAGCTTTTATGATTGGTTCAGCGCTGTGAGTCTGTCTAGTGGAAGGACTCTGCACAACATAAATGCGCCAACACAGGCATTGTATGCCCCGCCTTTTACCGTTTGTAAACCGTCCCAGTAACACCACAGACGCCTCTGATAGGCGAACCCTGATCGGGCTTTTACAGTGCGAAGAAAAATCTCTCATTTGGCTATACCTTCAGCAGGAACGCAGTTACTCAAATATACGAAGCTGTCCGCTTGCTCATGCTCTTTGCTTCCTGTTAAATCTGCCACTTTTTATGCGATTTCGGTTGAACGGCACCTCCTCTGCTAGCTCTGAATCCCGGCCAAAATCGGAATTCAACGCCTGGAGGCGAAATCGTGTTTCAGAAACGGCCACCGGATACGGGTACAACTAGTGTTAGAGCAATGGACATTTATATGTCAAGCCAGAAATATTCACGTTTCAGAACTGCCTGAAGAAGCTTTTGGGTCAAACATACAACACGATGTGCATTATAACAAATATATTAACCGGTCATCTGCCAAGCCTTCTTAGATGATGATTTCCCGATCGGTTCCAAATATATTTCAAGATATCGAACTAGATTAGTTGTCCCGATTGGTAGTTCAGTTTCACTAGCCAATGTGGAGGTAGTTGCACGCGTCACACGGTGGACGCAAATGTTTCTTTAACCACTTGCTGCTTCTGCTCTACACCATTGGCTCCACTAGTCTTCTGATTTAAATAATGAGTCTTCTTATCGATTTTACTTTCTCCGGGACACTTTCCAGTTTGAGCACTGGAGCATGTGGGTGCCAATCCCGGCTCTACACCATGACCCTGGAAGTTTTCTAAAGCGCTCATTAGGACATCTTTTGCAGTGTAAGCGAAATGTGGAAATAAGACAGTCCTCTCTTATGACGCTATTGGTAACAATAGGTGAGCAGAGTTTGCATAAGTCTTCTGTCCAAGACATTGAGGTATAGTATTCAAAGCTTGGCGTTATATTTTTTGTGTACCATGTTCTTTTCCATGCAGTGTCACAAAGCAGCCCGATCGACCGAGTTGAACGCAGCATGGACGTTTAAAATAGCTTTACCGACAGCCTTATGATGGTGGTGACGATGCCTGTGGTATTGCTTTAATCTTTTTCCCCTAATCCGATTCAGGTTGCAATGGTTTAATGTACGAGAAACCTTGTGCGAAGTCAGCGGTGAACCAATCCACTGTCTACAACGTCGACGTTTGTATTGCGCTGAGCACTTCGAACGACAGTTGAACTTTCCAGGTTTACCAGTGGATTCCTATGGGAACCAGCACTACCTGTTGCATGGACTTCACCGTCGTCTCAGGCTTAGGGTACTCACACAAGCTTCACCTTCAGAAGCGCAACAAAACACATTAGGTCCGACGACTTCTGGATTTTTTGACGTACTTCCATCACATGTTCTGGATTCTACTTCCTTCCAAGAGCTTTGGATCATGGATACACTCTCATCCGATTGGAGTCTAGCGAATGTCGTGCCCACTTCCAAAAATGTAATCGAATGTATTGCGCTAACTATCCATGAATTAATTTTGTTTCCATTGCATCCAAAGTGTCCGTTGCCCTGCTTTCAAGGAAGAGCAACTCGTTACGCGAAGAGCAGCTTAAGTTCCGCTCAGGTCGGAGCTGTATTGATCACCTTACGATCTATCAGATTTTCTAGCGTCGTCAAACGTTCGGCCAGTCAGCCATCGTATTTTAATGAACAAACGAGTTGCATTTGACTCGGTTGACCGAGGTGATTCCTGGAGTTGTCTGTTGATAACGGGAGTGCCCGAGAACTATATTAACACTCTTCAAGCCATTTATCCTCGAACCTCAAATACCATTTGCCAAGAAATGGTACGTCGTAGCCGATTGGAAAAGTATATCAACTAGGTGTTGTGGGGAGTGATAACAATCTTAAATAAACCCCGACCATGAGTATAGCATTTTGTGTGCTAAAGCCGTATCTAAATGCACCGAAGCATTATAGAGCTGCAAACAAGCATACAATTTACCCAAACAGTATGGCAGAACACTATGCTGACAATGGAAATACATGCGAGAAAGAACGGTGTAAATGAGCGGTGACCGCGCTTGTGATGTTTCTTGCAGGGAATGATAGCGACAAACCGGCAATCGATGGTTTGATAGGGAGACAGATAAATGCCTATAAATCGGGGAGCGATGATCAAAAATAGGCTACGGTCCTAGCGATTGAATTGACCAATGTTCGCTACAACACATATCATGGTCTACATTGGGATTGCGCGTCGCGATCCAATCACAAGTATTTCAACATAACCAAATACTGTGCTAATGGCAAGTTTGCTAGACCAAAGTTGTACTGATACGGTAAACTACTTATTGTAGGATAGAAGTATCAATTGCGAAAACTATGGCGGGTCCACCGAATAAAACGACAGGGATGAACCAGGCTAAGCAGCCAGTTTCTGCGTCCATTGGAGTTCGCAAGAAGGGTGAAGCAGTATAGCGCATTGTAGCGTGCGACCAAGACAGGTTAGATAGCCGATCAGCGGGAACGAACCTGATGTTACGAAACCTACATCGACAGACATGAAGGGACTAATTTTGTTCGAACACCGGTGCCTTCGTTGCTTGTCCCATATATGGTGAGAGCACCACATGAGGAATGAGCATGTTCTGCGCCTTTTTTATTGTAGAGAAGGCGGGAGTGAACCGTTCGGAACCGTTGTTTCACGAAACAAGCTCCGATGGCTGGGTAAGGTGTTGCGCATGCTAGCCACCGACTCCCGTCATGTGCGTTACTTGCCCGACGGGTTTGTATGGAAGAATAGTAAGGGAAGCCTACCGATAATTTGATCATGGAGAAGAATAATGTAGGATCTAACTTCGAACTTAGCATCGGTTGGAGTCACCCGGCTCCGCGGTTTGGGTCCAAAGACGATACATCTTTTTGGTTGGATACACTAGTTGACCTTGTCACGAGTCGTTCTCAGTGGCGTTTGTGTTCCGAGTTTATTCCTCCCTCTCCACTCCGCTTGTCTTTCCCTTCCAATCATGATTTTAGTCTTGACCGTTAGTATCAAACAAAGCGTAATATTTTTGTGCCGTTTTGCTCTTGCTACTTTTTCAACGCCATTTCATAGAATTGTATCGTGGCACAATATCTGAGGTTTTCTCCAACTTCCAGCCAGCGGGGATATATACAATCAACAATCTGTTGCATAGACATTAAGTCAAGCAAAACCGTGGAAATTAATTGAAGAGTACAGGTAGGATCATCATCATCATGCTACATTAGCTGAAAGTGAACACTTCTGCTATTGTGCCGCAAATTTTTTATTGTTTTTTGCGTTTTTTGCAACACGCCTGCGTGTAGGATGATGAGTATGGTTAACTGTTCCATCACTGATGTTAGGATAATACGGCCGTGTATATTGCCACCATAATTTACCCGACCCTGTTGGCTAGGATAGTCTCTTCCTCCCCTACCCATTTTGGGTGATAAGTCAGCGCTTTGAAGAGGGCTTCGCTGTTATCCTTAGAGAGCGTAGGCACGGTAGCATGTGAATCAGCCACGAGAAAACAACTGAGGGCTACACTCACTTATTAAACCTTGTCTTCTTATGGGTCTCTATACTAGTCAACTGTGGTTCGGCCTACACGGCTTGAACACGTGGCTATCCAGGAGCGCGGCACCAACTGAACAGCTTCCAAATACACTGTGTTCATCACATCTTGCAACGTTATTGTGAATCAGTGCCCAAATGCTGATCCTTATCGTTTTACTGATTCACAGTTTTCTTGAATCCTTCGCGTGGCGATTGTTATGCTCTGTTCTTGCTCCCTCTATTTATCGACTCTTATGAGTCCACCAGGCTTCTTTTCCAGCTGACAACTTCCGTCCTAACTAGCACATAGTAGCATCTTAAATGCTTACTGTTCACTGGCGAGACAACTGTTGTTTTTGTGATCATTCACTCCTGGTAGCGTAAACACTATTCCACTAAATCCCAATTTCCATAGAGCAATTAGATGATTGCTTATCACACAGTGCGTCTTGGTCCAATCATCCGAGGGCTTAGTCGGCTTCTTGATTATCAATAGATGGAATCGTTCATTTTTGCGCGCTTGCTGTTAAAATTCGTGGAATATCTATGGTATACCGAAGCATGGTCTAATTCGGCGCGAATGCTCCGGGGCGAGTGGTAGGTCAGGGTGGAACCACGCCACCTAAAATTAATAGTCATGTGGTTTACTTGGGTCCATTACCAGCTGGCTGTTTGGGGACACTGAGTGGTATATTGAAACTGCCTGAAGATGGTGTTGCCACTTGGAGGTGTTTCAGTGTTGCTCTTCTTGACACTGTTGCTAAGACACAACTGATGACCGCTGACAGCTGTAATCGATGTTCACCATTGTCCTCGCTTTCGGATTTAAGCCCAAACTTCTCGTTCGGTTGAGCTTCTAAGGAGTTGACATTATCTACTTGCACATTTTCATCCGCTACAATTGGCACGGTATATAAACTAGCAGCGCTTCAAAGTTGCTTGGTAAACCCACGACAGAACTACAGAAATTGGAACGTGAACTAGAACCACAAACGACGTCTAACGCTGCTCCGTGCGCTAATTTTGGTTGGTTTTGTCAACCGGGTTACTCACACGAATCCAGTTGACTAACAGTGACTCATCCCTGGCTTTGAGATCGATGCCAACTCTAGCTTGATACGTAGTTGTTGCATCAGCATCTCCACTGAGAACAACCTAGATGCACTCATTTCGACAACTTCGTTAGTGTTATTGGTCCTAGTTTCTAGCATACAGCATATGTTAACGCTCAGGGTGTCTATTGTGCATTCAAGTGCTATGTTAACCTATCTGCCTCGAAATGTGCTCATTAAACGCCGCCAGAGAAATAACATAGCTTGGAAGAACACCAGCGGATAGTGTGTGAGCACAACTTTGCATGGAAGAACTCCTGTAGACTGTAGTTGCGACTTTGGGGATTTCAGAGGGAACATTAGTTATACGATTGGGATGAGCTTGAGAAAGGCAGATGAAAAATAAAGGATATTAGCAGTAATATGCTTTCGTCTCCCTATCTTTTGCATGCAGCACATAAAGCGATACTTTTTAACCTGCACGACAACCGAGGAAATTTGATAAATGATTCTTGGTTGTACTCAGTGAGGGATGTTGTTGGGTTCTCCTTAACTTGATCAGATGAGTGACTAGGATCCTCACCCAAAACCTTTGACTCAGTGTCTGGTCGTAAAGCAGGGATGAAGTGGCGATAGCTCATTTGTGCATTCTTCATTAGCGAGGGCTAGAATATTCTGTGATTAATATCTGATTACTCACGCAGCCGATGGGAGTACCTCCCGAGGAGACAGGGTATTCTCTAATAGGCATCGATGGTCCAATGAGGTTCGCAAACTGTTACACCACATCAACGCACGCACTTGCACCCACCTACTGATTTGCTCTTAGACTCGATAGTTTGACCCATTGCACCGCGATTACAGCCAATACTCTGTCTACCTATGTAGCCCGTCGTGTCGAGAACCTTGCTTTATTGCGCCACAGTGCACTTCTTTGACTCAGCAAGCCATGGCCCAACGCATTCAATCCGGCCACTCTAACGAGTTCTCTCAATCTCTCTTTTTTAGCTATCATTGTCTGGATTCTTACCAACACTTACATACATTTGGCTCTGTTCCCCAAATGTGCAGTTTCGTCTTTGTTTTCCCTTTAGTGGCAAGCCCCATCCGTCACGGCGGCAGTCTCTTCCCTTTACTCTGCTAGCTTAGTCGCTTATCCTTCAAACTAAATCCCGTATCGTGTGTCAAACGGTTTGCGAATTGAGACATCTTATGAGTCACCGGTCCATCTACACAGAAAATTCACGTTCGCAAGATCACAGCTATTTTCAGACTTTTCAACCGTACCTTTTATTGCCATTGTGAGCCGACTCAATTTCAACTCGTAAGGGTGTTTTCCCCTGTTATAACACCACATTGTTGACGGGGTCTATCATTTGAAAGGTTGATAATAATTGTTTTTTTCCAAAGACACTTGTGTGCAAACACATTTAAATCGTCTTTAAAATGTAACTTACAATTTATTGAACTTATTTTTTCTATACTTATCGAGATACTGGGATTTTTGTCCTATTGGACAATTTCTTGAGTTTCGTGCACAAGGGATAACTTTCTGTCCCTATTTATTTCGAATTTTCACTATAAAAATGCAGCATATATGTTTGTGTCCGGTTATGTGTGACCATGCGCATACGTATGTTCCACTTACATGGTCGTTTATTTAACAGAAACCATGTCTTACCATTTACATTTAATACAAATGTGCTCTATGTTGCTCCAACACACAAGCTTTTGTTACCTTATTCATGCACATAATAAACTATATCACAGATATCAATCTTACCAATAAGCAAGCAATTGTTTTTACAGATAAATACGTGGCGCTACGCGCTTGTAGCTAGGGATTCATTTCATTTCGTTTGGATTTTCACGAAGCAAATGTCCTCAAGACGACTGCCTTTTGACGCGATCTATAGTGTGTATGTGCTAGAAAATGGAGGCCATACTTTGGATGCAAGCTATATTTGTTTTATGCGCTGGTTCTAATGTTCGAAAATCATCGAGATTTGTATTTCATTTTACCACCCTATTTTTTGGTCAATTCAATCGATCGTCGACCTCTGTCTTATTGGATTATTTCTTTCTTTACCCCATTTTCCAATCGCTTTTGTGTTTGCAGTCGGATCATCTGAAAATAGCATCCTTGTGCATCCATGTGCTTCGCTCTATCACACTCCATATATGACTGTGCAACTCTCTTGGTACTTTTACTCTATAAAGTCAAAGTTCTAAATGCTTCCCTTTATCTTGTTCGCTATTTCCCCTGGACACACCACTACTTCCGCATTAAACCGATCTGTTGGTGTAACGCCCCGTCACACAATGTACATTTTTTGAACATCGAGTTTGACCTGTTTTCACAATCAGTCTTCAGTTTCATACACTTTTCGATTCCTATCTAGTAGGTAAGCTTACCCTAAAATATGCCATCTCATGTCACACGTGCGTCCGACTGTTGCCAAGTACTTTTACATACTCTCTTCTCAAGTACTCGGTCTTTACTCTGACTTATCTGACCACCCGTTTCAATGTATCGGCTTGCCTATTTATGCTTTCTCTCTCTCCTTTGCCTTCTCTCTAGGATGAGGTTCATCCCCTTGTTTGGGTTCGACTACAACATTACCCACTCTGGCCCGCCAAGGTTATGGCCGTTGATGGGGACAGTTTGCTTGTTATGTTTTTCGGTGATTACGAAGTCACTTTAGCACCCGCGGGATCTGCCCAGCTTCATTCTGAGAACCGCGTTAGCCACCCCTCATTGCTAACGAAATCGAACGGTACGACGAATCTCCCGGCCTTGGAACCCGCCATTAGTCCGACTTCTGTCGGGGCAAGCAGCACACGGACACCCACTCCTCCTCCCATCTCCCCGGTTTCCGTTTGCGGTCGATCTTCAAAAGGGCTGCTCACGGATTCGGGTGTGGATGCTAGTTACAAACAAGCTGTCGCTGAGCTGAATTACAACGTCTATTTAATTCAGCAGCGGTATCCAAACTTTAAGCTTCCTGCAAATAGTTTGGAATACAGCAAGAAACAAGTCAATCGTTATTATGCGTACGTCTTTCGCGACATTGCTAATTTGGTCGATTTGTCTTCATTCTGTGCACTTTACGTTCATTATCACCGCATACTCCAAAATTTCACATGACTATCACAATAGGCATGGTTGATAGACTTTGCAGCTGCCTTCACTATATCTACCACATAACACCTGCATCCACAGTAGGACCAATAGTAGCCTTCACTGCACACATCCAAGTTTCACTGTAAACCCCAAGGAAATGGGACCTATGGGCATAGGAATGGTAGCAAAGTGGTCATGCGACAACACGCGCTTGTCTTTTCCACTGTGGTCTAACCATAAGGCTGATATGGGTCCGTAAGCAAGGTTGGAGGCAGCATCAACTTGGTAGTCACCTCGTCATGCTCGAGTTCACTGCTTACTAGGCCGGCTCTGTTGTTGCCTGAATCGCAGATTGCGGTGACGACCTACTGTCGCTTTCGTACCTTACATTTTTGTTCCCTATTCTTTGACACTTTTCCATGCTTTTGGGTGGAAGCATTCCTGACGTGGTCACGCTACTACCGGTAAGCGGCTTTCTTTTCTTTCTAACACCCGGAATCAAAGTTACTCCATAGCAGACCCATCTTGATCAGGTCCCGGCTGTCGCGACTCTTGTCTGCCTGCATTCCTGTTTCCCACACTCATTTGATCATGCAATGTGTGTTACGGTATTGTGGTCGCATCCATTCGGTGGGCTTGAACGAATCACCTAAGTTGTTTTTCATCATCAGCACTCAGTCCAATCCTTGAATGCCACCTGGCTGTTCATGCTCCCCAGATTTGCGTCCGCGCCGCTACCTAAGCTCAAGCGTCCTGTCAGTATTCCAACCTACGTACAACTGCTTGCAGTACAAATTCTTTTTTTCGACGGTGTCCTTCCCCATTTTTGACCGATTACTTCAGTCTTCGGCAGTGTCTCAGATACACAAAATCCACCGCGATCACTATTGACATCTATCCATCTATCTTCATCTGGGTTCTACTACCAGCAGCGATGTTGGCTTGTGCAATCTTAAGTGTGTTTCGATGGGAAAAACGGTTATCTTTGATTCCAAACAACTTAGAAGACGACAGTTGTGAGATGACTTAGTCCTTTCATATATACTCATCGATCAAAATCATGTAGTTAGCGTTATAGAGTAGAGGAAGACATACGGGACCAATTGATGGCCAATTTGCGACAATCAGTTCACCTTGCACTACTAAAGTTGACTCAGAGTTACAGTTAGCTTTTCCCGCATGCAGGGCTCCTACTGGTCTCGATTTGTAGCAATGCCCTCCAGCAACCTGTAGGTGTGGGGCTTCTGGCTATGCATCAGCTCAATGAAGTACTTATCCGCGTTAACCTGGTCCAGCGCTTAGCGAAAGCCTTGTGATTGGCGAGCAGATTGATTCTGTCGTCACAGATCCCATCTGACGATTATGACCCCTTAACTTCGGTCAGTGCGTCCAGTGTCCAGTACAGCTATCCCCGCAGCTACATGTAGATTTGTACGAACAGTGGGGCATGCGCCGCAGCACCGTCATTGAGCGCACAGACAATGGTGTTCTCAACTTGAGCAACCGTCCTTCTACTCCACTGTACCTCCTCTTCAGGGAACCAATTGTCCGTTTCACTGTGACTTTCGTGATGTGATCACCTTTTATGGGCGGCTCAATAAAATCGAATCCTTTTGGTGCCCGATGTGGCTTGGTTACGCCACTTTGGCATTTTATGAATTGCTGAGGATAATAGCTCGACTGCAAGGTTTTAAAAAGTATATGTCTCTCTGCTTGTGTGTCGGTTGCAGGTCATATGCACTCGATAAAATACTGTCCATACAAGGCAGCGTTTGTGCCATATCAGAGAAAAGTTCTTAACATGCAATTACTCAAGCTTCTAGTCGTATTGTGATCTCTGCATCCACATACGAGAGAATATTATCTTTCTCAAGGTCACACGTTACAGTAAAGCATGTGCAATTTTAGCGTTTTGATTACATACTCGTTACCCTCATCCTCGTCAACATAACACTTGTTTAAATATTCAACTGATAGTACTTACACACTTACTCAACATTGCTTAGAGCCACACTGGTCCTTGCCACACTAGTGCTCGATTCCCCGACTATCCACAAGTCCGTTGATGGCCTACTTCCCATGTATGATGAGGTGCACATGTTCTGCAACATTTCAGCTTTGCCTGGTGAGATGCACAACGATTCCGTCGAACCGAAAAGCCACACAATTTTACGCGCGCTGGAACCCAGTACCGCCGCCATGCGTTGAAGTTTTGTTGGAGGAACGGGTCGGTTGAGCTTCATTCGACCAAATGTATATGAATGCTTTTGGGGCCAAATGCACCATCTAATGTAATTGTATAGAACAGTCACCCGCAAAATACAACATCGAGATGGTTGTCTTATGCATATGTTTTCTCGCTCCGAAGATATGAATGTCCTACGGCCCACTATCTGTCGGAAAACTTACGCTGCATGCACATAACAGCGAGTTGTGTTTAAAAAGCACATGAGCTGGAATGCAGCCTTCGCTTACTCCCCGGACCACATCGAGGTTTTCCTAGGTTTTTTGCACACAGTTTCACTGTGGCCCACGCATCACTATGCAGACTTTCGACTATGCCTTTTCTCTGCCAATTGAATCCATAAAGCTCTCAAATTTTTCCTTAAGGATATCATGTTCCTTTCTCAAGATAGTCATTAACGCCTTCAAATTGCATCCAAAGGGCGCAAACGCTTCTTAAAACCGCACAGTTCGTTAAGTGACTAATCTCCCATATAAGCAGAGGCTGAAACGATTGGAGGTATTCAGTGGACGATATCTCAGATTATGAGGCGATCTGCCAACGCTCTACTTGATTCTACACGACCCACATCATGTGTGCCCCTCGTTAATGCAACTCAGTAGCAATGTAGGCCTAAGAGGTCACTCATTGAAACTCGCAAAACAGTATAGCCGTCTGGAGTGCCGCAGGAACTTATTTTCCCTTCGTGTATGTCACCCGTGGAATGCTCTCCCTGAATCGGTCGTCTCTGCACCGACACTAATAATATTTCAACGACGGTTAAATAACGCACTCATCCACTTACACTTTGTTACTTAGCACTCTGTCTCCATCCCACTACTGGAGTGTACCTTGGATTTACTTGATGTTAACTGTGGGTGCTGTGAATTTACGCGGACTGCAGGACTACAGTGGAGCAAACGATAAGTCCTTTTTTCATACTTAAGGTACTAACCGTTTTATTATTATGATCCTTTCGATGTTCCCACCGAACTACCCAACGGGACTTGTAAAGCAGTGCTTCTTAACTCTTATAAATTCCTTGTTCATAATACACGGTGGGATGCTGTTGATTGATTTGAAGTTGGTCATTTTATGAACTATGGCATTTAGAGACGTTCGCTCCCGTTGGATGCAATTTGCAAGTGTTGAGGATCATTTCGAGAGACCTTAAGGAAGAATTCGAATGCACTATGGATGCAATTGGTTGAGAAAACGTATGCCTCAACGGTTATCAAACTACGACCCGCAGGCCAAATCCGGCCCCCCGGCAATAAAACTTATGGAACACGAGACGTCGTGCTGCCACTTACCTTTGACGCTGCATGTCCTGTTGTCTGTGACCTTATGCAGTTTGAACACTTGGATGAGCTGACTTATAGTAGCTACATGTTATACCGTGCCACGCTACTATTTTTGACCCCAAATCAGAATATCCATGTGTGTGATCATGCATGAAACTCATTCATCTGTGCACTCTCCTGTGTTTCTATTTAACTCACATCTTTGTACCGCAGTTTTCCGTTGGTCTGCCCGAAGCGTGTGTGATGTAAAACGCCGCTTATTAAGACCTTATTAAGTGTTTCCCATCGTGACTCGATCGCTAAATGGGTAGAGGTCCCAATTAACATCCCACTGGTCCAGCGTTCGATACCTTCTAGCTCTACCTGATGACACAAAGTAGCTTCAAAACCGATCGTGGAGTACAGTGCTTTCGGGTGGGTAACACGCAATATTTAAGATGCTATTGGTTTGACAGCGTCATATTTGGAACGAATTGCAAGTTGGTAGTACGGAGTTGCGCTGGAAGCGCAAATTGTTGAGACTCGTATATTTTGGTATTGCTAAATGCATGTAAGTAACAACGGTATCCAGTTCCCGCATGGCTTGTTGATTTGGATTTGATGCAAACGCTTTGCTCAAGTCTTTCAAGTGCGCTGCCGTTCCAACAAATGGTTCGGCGGCAGTATTTCAGGACGTGGATGGTTTCCGCCTGACAAGCGTTCTCTTTAAAAAGCCACATAGTTCCTTTTAACAACACGGCGATGTAGCGCACATGACTCGCCACTAAATAAAGTCACTGCCCCTTGCTTTATGCCGGCGGAGCATTGTATATCAGAAACTTGTTGCCGAAAATGTGGGGTCATAAGCCCCTGTTTGGCAAGCGAAAGTCGTATGCACCGAGCAATCGTTCACCGGATCCCGATGGGCGCGATTTCCTGAATTCGCTCCACTAACTCGGGGTGGTGCTCCCTAAGGCAACACGCTACCTCTGCTTGGGCAACCGGGTAGTGTCGTGTCCTCTGACAATACTGTGAACTTCTCTGTGTTTTGTTCGGTTTCCTTTTTATGACGACTCTACTTTCCTTTTAGTTCCATGGTTTTTGGTGGCTCCATGTCAATTTGTAGACTGTTGCAAATATATATCCTACAAACATTCTTACGCTATATATTCTATAACCGAAGATGCAAATGAAATTTTCGTGTACCCTCTGATGAGCCGTAGTTCTACGAATGACCACTAGTCTTCTGTTTTTCTGGTGTTTAATATGGATATTATTACGTTTATGACTCATTATATTTTTCTTGTTCGGCTCCGCTTTATTTCAGCCGTTACTACGGCTACTAAGGGAAAAAAGCAAACACCCAGTGTCGCGTTTGCTTTGTCATTTTTTCTCACTTTTCCTTCTGGTTTACAAGTATTGTGCATACTGATTATGCGCCCCACACTAACCGTTTTGTCAGGTAGCCAGGCCGCGCTAGTCAATTTTTCCGGTTATCCGGCCCTCTGCGAAAAACGTTTGGTGACACATGAATTAGATGAATATACCATCGAATTCCAACTATTTCAAAACCGGTCATTTTTCCTCACAGCTCACTTCCCTACGTGCATTAAGGAATTTGACGGACTGTTAGTGTAAAGGTCTGTTTCATTTATAGTGCCTCTCCTACATTCGACAGGCTGGTCCACAGTAAACGAATGTCGAGGTAGTCGAGCAGGATCCGGATAAACGACTTGCCTGCACGGCTTATCAAGTTGCTTCCACCTTAATTATTGGCGCGCCGCTCCTGTCTTTTTGTTGTGCTATGACAGTATCATAGCATTTTCTTTTCCATCTTCACATACTCCTCCTTCCATATGCATCCCACCGAGCAGGGAGATTCGTGTTACCGAGGTTATGCTGGTCCTCAGTACCGCTTGCGGCATTCCGTCTGTACCCGCAGAATTACCACTCTGCGGTTGAATGCGTGCGCTCTGTGTTTCGTAATGCATTGCTTACACTCCGTTCAACGTGGCTCGGTCATACTGCGAATAAAACTAAAGTGATGTTTTTGCCACCACAAAATCATGTGTTAGGACTACACGTACCGAAAAATTACTCATACTTGTCTCGTTCGTGGTGTAGGTGTGATGATACTCTCCGGCACTTCCACCAAAGTGGCCACCCATTCTGCTGTCGTGAGCCCACTTGATATTTAGGCAGTGTATATTTACATTCCCAATCTAGTCGAAGTAACCAGCACTCTCCGCGTACAACTCACTCTGTTCTACCACTACGCCATATTGCTCGTTGTAATGCCAACGCATTGTCGACCGATGCTTTGCACCGTACTGGATTCGGACCAAGGCTTCACTCCGAAAGTGTGCTCACGTTCTGTCTCTAAACCCTAGCACTTCCCGCGAAGGCTTACAATCGTGCAGGTCAGTTTATGGGGTGTGGGTTAAGTGGAGTTGGTAGATCATATAAAGCGATATGGGGATCTTTTCCAGTTAAGCCCCGCCACTAATGCAAAAAGAGCACGCGCAAAGAGTTAAGCCCCGCCACTAAGGCAAAAAGGTGCACCTGAAAAGTCAAGCCCCACCAATAGAGCAAAAAGGGCACGCGTGAAAAGTTGAGCCCCGCCACTGTTTGCCAGCTCCAGTGTACGTAATGCATGTAGACGTGCCCCATAAAAACACTCCTTATCCGCTTCTAAGGTCATTTTTGTCCAAAAAGTTTCTACGTTCGCACGTAAAACCTGACATGAACTTTCTGACGCTTTCGGCGGTCGTTCATGACAAGGAAACAGCAATACGTTTTTTGCAAAGCCATGGAGTGATTCATCATCAACGTTTCTGCACACGAGGACACCAAATGACACTTTCAACTGTTTCTGACAGGTGGAGGTGTGATGCCCGACAGTGTCGGCAAGAAATCGGTCTTCGAAAGGGAACTTGGCTGCAGCGGTCTAGGATGGATTTCAGGACAATAATCCTATTCATTTATTGCTGGTTCAAAAATCTGACAACAATCAAATTCTGCTCAGAGGAGTTATCTATTGGCCACGCGACCGCTGTCGACTGGAAGAACTTTCTGCGTGAAATCTGCGCCTGGCAGCCTTTGCAGACTCCAACGATTGTCGGCGGCCCAGGTCTACATGTCGAGATCGATGAAACCCTAATATCACGTCGTAAAAACCATGCAGGGCGAGTCCTTCCCCAGCAGTGGATTTTCGGGGGGATTTGCCGGGAGACTAAAGAAGTGTTCTTGTATGCAGTGCCAGATCGAACTGCGGCCACTCTGCTGGACACAATCCAGGCCTGCATCGCTCCCGGCTCAATTATCATTTCCGATATGTGGGCATCATACCAAGGCATTGAATCGATGATTGGCATGAGTTATACTCATCAAACGGTTAATCATACCGAAAACTTTGTGGATCCAACGACTGGAGCTCACATTCAAACCATCGAATCTCTCTGGCACATTTACAAGATGCAGAATAAGCGCCAATGCCGCACACACCGATCTTTAGTGGACAGCTACCTGTGTGAGTTCGTTTGGAGGCAAAGACACCGAAAAATGGACCTTTTCATGCAAATTATTAATGACTTGTCTCAATTTCACCCTCTTCAATAGAGAGTAAAAGTTCAAGTTCCATATCCTCCCTTTTCATAATCTTTTTTGGGTGGCGGGGCTTAACTGGAAAGTCTCCCGATATGTTGCGGCTGTACGGAAAAATGAAAAGCAACGCTAGCAGTATTGTATTTTACCCTCTTTATCCCGCTGTATGTGGCAGCGAACACCTTCTGACATTACGAAGGCCAGCACGGAGTACGTTTACTTCCAGACATCATTCATAGTTTGCTTTTCGGGCCGTTAAGTTACTAAGGTTCCCACACCCTGTATAAAAAGACGAGCAGGGTCCTGGGCGAATTTCTTCAATGCGTCGCACTCTTAAACGGCAGTGCGAAATTCATGGTGAACCTGTCGGCTCATTCTCGTGTCCTAAGATTAGGATTTAACCCAGCTGCTACTCAGTTGCTGCCACGAATAGGAGTCCAGGCCTTCGCTTTTCAGAAGAACCAGATTAGTCCTGAGTCAGTGATGTCTCAAGAACCCACTACCACCATTTATAAGAAGTCAGGGGCCCTCGTATGCTCGCCTACGTCTATCCTCACACGTCCGCACTTAGACAACACGCACTAGTTGCCCTCACAAACGCAACATCGCGGTTCCTACAAATCCATTATCATTATGTTGGTGCTTTTTCCACCCGTCCCAATTCGGGTAAAGTACAGGAAGTAGCATCTTGGGAATCGTATTTGCCTTCTTTTTGAACATTGTACATCTTAAACACTGTACATCTTAAACGTAACCGTCGTTTCATTTTACTGGTCTTGTTGTGCCCGCTGGCCGTCAGCCTCACTTGTCCGGATGCGGGCTGTCAACATACTGCTCCCACGTGTCCTGCTGGTATTAGTGTGAGCGTTCGTTATTTCTCTCTCAATCAACCAATGAGCAACCTACATTCCCGGGCACTTTCTCAAATCATTCGGCACTCGTCCTTGATTGATCTGCAAATTAGTTTTTTGTTTGTGACGGGACTGTTCTCATCGTGAAGTACACCATATCTGTCGTTTTGTCGGTGCTCAGATGGCGGCCACTTTTGATGGACACACATGCGTGCGTGTCCGCCACTTTCTGTTGCTCTCGACCAATAGTTTTTCACCTCTTGCCGTATGTGTTTGTTGCATTTGGTTCCTGGACCCGTGCATACACGTGAGCGTGACTGAGCACGTATGTGCTTGTACCACTGTAACGTACTATACCCTATCATCTTGCAGAGCTTGTTGTGATAATACTCAAGTCAAAAGCAAGAGAACTGAAGGCCAAGCACGGTTTCCGTTGCGTGTGAGCACGCATGTATCATCCTCCTGCATGGAACCAGTCACGTCAGATACCGGCTCCAACCCACTCCCTAGCAGGCAACGCAGCTTGACAAACGATCCTCCCGGGGAAGCGTATCCCGAGCCACTTTTGTCCCGCGTTGCTGCCAGCATTCGTGACACCGCTGGGAGTAGTGCATTAACCACGGTGAATCCCGAACCTGAAGCTCCTCGAACAGAATACTTGGATCACAGTAACATTCCAATGCTTGATACGGCACGGGCGATGAATGATGCATCATCTGCCACAAATGTTCGCGATTTGCTACCTGGGCCCCTGCACCCTATCCCCGATTCCGCGTAAGTTTCTGCCTTTCCTTTCCTCTTTAATGTCATGGTTTTGATTTGTTTGATTGCTTGACATCCTTCTTGTCACTCACTTTGACCCACAGCAGATCCCCGACTAATCCAATTATTGGCCGTTCTTTGTCACCTTCTTCTTCCAGGCATTTCCAAACCAACAATGCTATATAACCGAATCCACAGAGGAAATGACCTTTTCTTATCTGATCGCTAGAGCTTTCCCAGTTTGGTTCTGTGGACCGTTGAATTATCCCGCTCGGTGCTTGTCTTTCACTGCATTTATGTTTCGCAATATGGAGGGTTTAGGGAATAGTTTAAAGTGTCTACTTCGTAGGGTTGCGTGGATGTCTCATATTTGCACTGTTGCTTGGGAAGCACCTCATTCTTGCCTTTGGTCCCATGGGCTATCTGTCTGTCTGCATTTCGACTGTACGGCTCACTTTCTCGGCTATCGGTACCTGTATGTACGTGGGCTGATAGTCTGGCAAACTCATCGCTTCACGGCTCTTCTCAGCATCCATGAACACGCACGATACATCAAGGATCAGCTTGTTCAGAGCAATTTGCTTAACAACTTTTTGAATCGTTTTTTATCCCCCCCCCTTTCCAGAAACACTGTTTAGCAATCCACCTAAATTTCACCTGATACCGTCACACTTGCTTCGGTGTATTAAAACGTGTGACACCATCCTCTGTTCTCGTCTGTTTTATCTGTTCACTGTTATAAACGTTTTCACCTCGAGTAAGCTACTCAGTCAGTAAGGCTGTACCGCAGCTCTAGCCGTCCTTTTTCCTTTGTTTACATCTGATCTTGTTTTCTGTGACTTATTCTTCAACCAAGTTAACGCCTAGCACAACCGTAGTGCATCTTCTTTTATCGGTATAGTTCCCAGTGGCTGCTGCTATTTCACCTAATCCCCCCATACTTACTTTACTGCACTCCATGCGAACGCGCATCACCCCACACTTAGGTACTTTGAATGCGCTCTCAGTGACAGACCAGTGGCCAAAGGAATGAGGCGTCCGCATTGTCGCCCAAAGGCCACCCGTTCTAAACTACGTGGGTTCGATTAACCTTACAATACCCCTGGCCTACACGCGACTGGTAATGTTCTCGTGGCAGCGAGGCTTCGGTCCGACGCACCAACGTACTGTTGATACCTTTCCCTTTTCTTTCTATTAACCGTTTGAGATCCGAAATCACTACCAAGAGAGTTGCACTCGCATTCCATCTACACACAACGAGTGCTTCAAAATGTTCACCGAATCATTTCATTTTTTGTTGTGCTATTGCACACACCGAGTCCATTGCCCTTTCTTGTTTCTGCTGTTTAGAAATGATCTTTTTACTTAGAGTTGAATTTGAGCCAGCCGTCCTCCATTGGCATTGAACCTATGAGATCAACGATATTATAACCCTCATTCTCGCACTACTGCACCTTATACACTCTGTAGTAATAAATTCAGTCAAACGTCGCACATACAGTTCGGCTCCTCACTCGGCTATAGGGTGATGACGGACTAAGTTTTAGACTAACTGTCCTGCCGGATGTCTAAACCGCTCGCGCACAATCAATCAAAACGCTCACGGGACTGATGCTGAACTAATCACCCGCTTGATTACGGACTTGTTTCAAATCACAACTGCAACTTATGGCTGAGCTACTCTAGTGCCAAATTGATTTTTCGATTGCGTTCATGCATGATTGATGACCGAATGCAACTACTTGGACCAATTATTGCACTGCGCTTCATTGGCCTGAACTCTCATACACTTACGATCCATTCCTTGAAACCAGTAATTGAAGCAGAGGCATTTTCGGTGTTACTGTCTCCCGGCGCAGTTAAAGTCGACTTCCGTCTGCACTGAGCAACATGTTCATATGTGTGGCCATTCGGAAGACCAATAAGACTTGAAAACCCGACCTGCTCTTGCGGTCTTTGAGACCAGAAAAGGTGTATCGTTTCTTCTACTCTGTTCCTTGACTCTGTCTAAGTGTAGTACCCTGGTGGCGGTTCATCATTACTCATTCACTTAGTTTGCTCTTAAAACACTGAGCTCGGCTCACACCTAAGGTGGCCATACGTCCCGATTTAGACGGGACAATCCCGCATTTCAAGCTCTCGTCCGGCTTTTTTAGAAATGCTGGGCGGGACACACTTATGTCCCGCTTGGAGGTCGGAGACCTCGGAAGGTCTCGCTTTGAGTATGTAGAATGTAGGTGCAAAATACCAAAACCAATCAGTGGTGGGGCGTGCACACCATGAGACCAATATAAGTGGGCGGGGTGGTCGACTGTGTGGGTGGGCAACCTGGCAAGCAGACTGTATGACAACACAAAGAAATGGAAGGGAAGCAATACTGAAAGTTTTATGTCTCTAGTAAAGAACGTCTGCATTAAGTACAGTTTGGATGGAAAATCATGTCTAAACGAACGTGTAAGCTGATTGCTAAATTGGAGAGTGATTTTCCCTTCAGTAAGAAGTCAACACGTGACAACGATTCGCATGCTTGATGTGATACATGCAAATCTGAATTTCCTATTACTCACAGTGACAGAACAGATAGCACAAACCACCTAAATTCGGATCGCCATGAGATAGCAGTGTCTGCGGCAGCATCTTCTATCCCTGTAACCAATTACTTCCGGTCAGCAACGTTTGGAAACACAGAAACCAAGTTAGCGGTCGCAGAAAGCACATTCGCTTATCACGCTGTATTTCACAAGCACAGTTTCCGCTCCATGAATTGCACCAGCAAGTTGGTGGCGAAATTGTTCGAGCCGAAGTTTGCTTGTGCCCGCACAACATGTTGGCAATAATACTAATAATAATAATAATAATAATATTCTGTTCCAGTTTGCCAGAGACTAACTTCAAGAAAGATTAAGAAAAGCAAAATTCGTGTCAATCTTCACCGACGCCTCAAACCACAAGGAAGTAAAGGTGCTCCCACTCCTTGTGGGATACTTTGTGCCGTCTTCGGATATTGAAGTGAGGTTATTCGATCTGCAGTCACTTACTGCTAACACATCGGACACCATTTCTGAGTTTGTAAAGAATGTGTTGGAACAAAGTAATATGACCAGAAAAACTAGGATCTTGTGCTGACAACGCCAACACAAATTTCGGTGGCGTTCAGAGAAGAGGACAAAACAATATATTTGCGAAATTGAAATCTTCGATTGGAGAAACACATGTGGGTATTGGTTGCGTAGTCCACATCGTCCACACAACACATTGCAAACGGCTGCTGATTGTCTTCCTATTGATGTTGAAACGGTTGTGATGAACATATATTCTTACTTTTAAAGTTACACCGTTCATATTGAAAAACTAAGGGCCTTCTGTGACTGCAACACATACGGGAAAACCCGGTGGCTTTCACTTTTGCCAGCGGTGGAGAGAATCCTGAAACTATTTTCAGTGTTGAAGTCTTGTTTTTTGTCACGACAGAAGTGCCCTACTGTATTACATTGATTCTTCGGAATATTTGTGTTGATCTGTGAATCTTCCTTATACACGACATCTCTGCCAATCTTCCGGCTACTGTACTAACAATTGTGGAACAAAATATTTCAGCATTGGAAGCCTCGTCTGTAATGTACGAACTTCTGCAGAAGTGCAGGGACAGAAGCAGAGGCAGCTTTGTTCCAAACGAGGTAAATCAATTCGAACAAGTGGGTATCGTCAGAAAAACATGTGATGCATCCGTATTTGTTATTGTTCCCAGCTTTGCAATTGCTATAATACCTGTAACTTGCCAATTTAAAATCCGTTTCGGATCCATTGTATAAATACCTATTTTGTGCGATCTTGTTGTACAAATCGATCAAACCACATAGTTGTACTGTGCCTCGCACCTTCGAGGAGTATATCCTTTATTTATTATTATTATTCACCGCTTCTAGAAGAATGAACCAATTTCAATAACTGAGTGGCTTCAGTAGGGTGGCGTTGCAACAACCACTGTCCTGGGGAAAAGCCGAAGCAAGCGTCAATCTTTTTGGCTCTGGACTCCCAGACCTGGAAATCAATGACAGCGAGTTGTTTGACGAAGTTAACAACCTGTGTAACTTTGCACCAGCCCTACAAAATTTCCGATTAGAACTGTAAACAAATAAAGGTTTACATGCGATGGGGAGAAGTGTTTTCCCACTTCCAGTCCAACTCGGTCCCATTTAAACGAATACAAAAACTTATTGAATTTATTCTCTGTCTCTCTGGGACTAATACACCTGCTGAAAGAATCTTTTCATACATGAACACTGTATAGACAAGCGAGAAAAACGCAACTTAGCTTCCAAACACTGAAAGCGATGCTTATGATGAAATACAACTTTGAGAACAAGAGCACCGGGTGTCCCTGCAAACAAATTCACGACAAGCGGATGCAGCGCCCAGATCTACTATAGAAAGCACTTTCATCTGAGAAGTGTTGCTCTACAACTTTGGTACCAGATGATGCAATGTCATGTAACACATCAATTTCATTAGCGCAGTCATTGTACCGACTAACGATCTAAGTAATCTTTGTTATTGCAGTGAAGTAATACACGTATATATTATGCTTAACAATTTTTTGTGCGATCCACATATGCTGAAGCAACCGGGGGGAGGGTAGGTTAAGCGTCCCGCTTTAGCCCGCGAAAAATATGGCCACCTTACCCGTGCCTAAATAATTCAAGCGTTCACATCCTTACCTACGAAGTACCATCATTAATACGTACCAATAACATTAGAAATAAATTGTTTATTCTCGACATTGAGACACACGTCCAAATAGGCACGATTTTGTTAACACAAACACGAGGGATCGGATTCAGTTACAAACTGGATTTATATGTGTGTATATATCTTGGTGGGTGTATATGCAGCCAAGTTTGTTGGATTTGCTTGTGTGAGTGCATTTGTGTTTCTGTTTGGTCGGTTCGCTAATGCAAGAAACAATTATATGAACTCTTCGAACTGGATGATTGACATCCGTGGAGTGGGCA